GCTTTTAAACCAAGTTTTATTAGTCTTTTGCCAAGCCTAAGAATTACATGCAACAATCAAGTTTTCCACAGAGTCGTATTTTATCTCAAGATACATATATTACCAGAAACCCATGGGTTTCTGATATTACTTAGATAAAACAACCAAAGGAAGGCCCTTAGCCAGCTGCGTGAACGTGCAATTAAAACAATTTAATCAATATAAGAGTTATTCAGTTAACTTCTCCGCTTATTTCAATCCCAACTTATAAATTAAATGCTTGTGTATTTTCCTGTTTAAATGTTGCTAATTGTTCTGGTTTGCACGCTTGTCTGCAGTAGATTGAGCACGAGAAGAAAAGCCTCCTTTTGGCACTCCACCACCATGTTGTTTCGCCTCAGAGCTCTGAATACGGGCGGCTGCATCTTGAGTCATCGGGTTCTTCGGTTGTCCACCGGACTGCGATCCTGGTTTGTCCATTTTGTGGATATTGCCAGCAACTCTGATCTTCTGTTCAGAAAACAACAGACATCAAAACAATTCACCGTTAAGTTTTCAGTTCTGTATTGAAAGCGGCGCTGTGCGACAAACGTAGACTGTAGACTGGCAGACAAACGAAGTAAACATTGTTGTAGAATGCTCTAACAGATTCCCTATCCCTAAACTAGACTTTTAAATGACTTAAACTTTAGCGATTGGGATTGTTAAAGCATTCCACAACAAAGCTTTCCTCGTTTACCTGCCAGTCTGCGAGTCTACAGTCTGCGTTTGTCGCACACCGTTTGAAGCGGTGGGTTTAATATCTCTTTTCTACATGTCCGAATTTATATCGATAATGTTTAACTCCAACCCTACATACCTACGAGGCATTCTATATCGGAGCCTCACTTCAAAACATTTCTGTTATTCAGTATAGCCAGTGCTCATGGTGTTGCCTTAAATCTACGTTTTTTATCCTGGGCTAAAAGTGGTTCATCTGAAAGGATAAGTTATCTCCTATTACCTTGTAGTGTAGTTGACCAATTTATTGTGTTTCTTCAATCTGCATAAATTCGCTGAAGACTATAAAATGATCGGTACCTATTTTTCAAAGTCAGTTCTTTGTTTCCTTTTCTACATTTTATGTTCTTATTAATATCCTTAAAACCCTAGAAAAAGGGAGAGCATTGGCTGCAACAACAATTTAGGTATGAAATCGCCTCTTTGAACAGTTACCGAACGCCGAATGACTGTGCAAGATTAGTGATTAAAAAACGTAGTGAATCTAGACATTATACAGGAAAACTATCGAGGAACTTGATTCACTTACACATGTAGTTTTCTGATCCTATATTTAATCACTAAAACTTGGGAGTGATTAGGCATTCCCTGCTGGTTTGAAATCCAACTGTACTTGCTTTAATCAGCATTTTCACATTGACTACAGCGACTAGACAAAAACACCTCGGTCTTCACGTTGTAACATTAGGCAAACTATTGTTTTTGTTAAGAACGCGTATGCTGCAATACATTGAAGATTATTCCAGTTTTTAACACTTCTGAAATCAAGTTTACGAAATTATATTGTACTATTCTTCCAGTTGCGTGTAGAGGGAGCCCATGGCGGCCATGACTGGATCCTCGGTGAAAATACGGTTCGATTAAGTCCTACATACACATCTCAATAACATGAACATGTTTGAATAAAACGAACAAGGGTTGAAGTACCTCTAACAAGTTGAATTAAGCTGTGTTCTTCGACTTGTTTCCTTCGTAATATCTTCACTGTGCTGCGTCGGTTTAATCTGTAGAAAGGGTGTTCCGTTTTTATACGGTTATAATTATCTCTTTCCGCGAAAAGTTACGTCATCATACAATTATAACTTTTCTTAGAAAGGATCAGGCTTCTCGGAAATCTACGGGGTGACACTGAGGCGGTGTGCGTCACGACCCACAAAGGTTCGTGGGTAAAACTGTTAGAGTGCCTCATTTCAATCCTGACACGGTCGAGTACCCATCTCGTGAGAGAGCTGAATCAAAACCCGGGATCAAAACACTGCTTCCTTTTCTGAAAAAACATTACGGAAGAGAGCGAATTGGAGAATTTTGAAGATCTCATAGTGGCCTTAGATGCTTGCTATTGGCTTCATAAGGCCATTTCAATAAGTTCATCGCGATTCGGAGAGGATCGAAGGAGCGATTTTAGCCTATTACGCGGCGATTTCCTGCTTCTCAGAAGATTTCATGTGCTGTTTGGTGCTGTGTTTATATGTATATTTTTATCCCTGAGTGAAAGAGACCTGTATTTCACACCTGGATTTGCTTAAATGAAAAAAAGGTCTTCCATTAGCATTGTTTGATGGACTTTATTACCGGGCAAGGAGGGAGAGCGAGAAGCAGAGCAAGGTGAGAAATCTTGCATCGTCTCTCGTAACAATTGTATTTTCATCGACACGTTTATATCATTTCGCAAACAGTGCTCGCTTGCAATCCTTATGCACAATTAAATCTTCTATCAGGCAAGGAAAAAACAGACCGAAAGAGCCGAACAGCTACAGCACAATTTAGTTTGGCGTCACCAAAAAACGTTCAGTTTTAAAGAACTGCCAGCTCCTGCTGAAAGGCAGTTATCAAAGCTAACAAAGAGAGCAGAAGGGCCCGAATTGCGTGTTTATTCCGCTTTCTAAGGTCTTCCCTGGTGCTGGGATCTTCCTCCTTCCATGTGAACAACCCTTTAACTGATCTAAAACCCGAGGGAATGATTTTGTTTGTTTTATGGTGATTTTCGTCCTTTACTAGGAGTGGCAGATTCAAAAAGCTCCTTTATGGATTTGAAGAAAAAAGACAGTTTCAATTGGAAAATTAATTTATTATTCTATCAATGTATAAAATTGAGAAAAATAATTTACTTGGTTACACAGAAACCAAGACAATCACGGAAATTTCCTGTACTCTTCAACAAGGAAATTTTTGCTATTTTATTCGTAGATTATATTAGCGCTGGGACGTCCTTTTAAATTTTCACATGCCTTTCATATGGGACCCGTTTCTCGAAAGTCCCGATAATTCACGGCTTGGGAAAGTTGTTTTGTAAACATTCAAGGTCGAGGTTTCATTAGTTTTCCAGATAATATGATAAAAGTACCAGTTACAAAACAAAATTGACTGACTTTTTAGCAATGACTCGCGCTTTCATTCTTTATACACAAGTATTTTGAATTGAATATTTGATTTAGGGCCCCACACTGAGTTAAAGGGACTTTTGAGAAACGGGCCCCTGGAGACATGCGCTTTGAAACTTCGTATGACTTGTTTGCAGCCAATGTCCAGACGGCCAGGTTGGTTGTCAAAACCAAAAGTCTTTCCCTCCACTGCATGCAAAGCAAATTCCCCGAAGTGTTTTTGTCAACCAATATGGCCGTCTTGTCAAGTGATTGCAAACCAAGAATTACCAATGAGAAAATTTAAAATCAATTAATTGTAGAATAACCAGTCCCCTGAAACTGGTTAAATGGGATGTGTCAGACTCCCATCAAAATGGGGTGCTGTTTCCATCAAAAGGTTTCCCCCAGCGTTACTTTAATGTCTTCCTTTTCCTTGTACTTTTTTCTGGTAGGGAGTGGGACCAACGCTGGCACACCTAAGGCTTGAAACAAGAATTCTAGACCTGAAGTCATTTCAGTTCGTAATATGCAACTCAGGATAAAACGACGAAAACAGCAAATAGGAAGGCACAAAAACAGTACAATCAATGATCAACATTAACAGGAATTGATGCATTTCTCTACTGTTCTCNGGTAGGGAGTGGGACCAACGCTGGCACACCTAAGGCTTGAAACAAGAATTCTAGACCTGAAGTCATTTCAGTTCGTAATATGCAACTCAGGATAAAACGACGAAAACAGCAAATAGGAAGGCACAAAAACAGTACAATCAATGATCAACATTAACAGGAATTGATGCATTTCTCTACTGTTCTCTGCAAAACAACAGCCCCAAACGGAGCGTAAAGACATGACTATTCATTCATATTCTCTCTCTAATATCTTCAAACATTTCTCCTAAAATTCAGACGCTGAACAATTCATCAACACAAGACAAAAGTCAACAAATTAAAACAGCGACTCGATAACCAAAACTTTTGTTTCCAAGCGAAGTTTTCACCTTAACCGTTGTGGTAACTTATAATCCATTTTAAATACGTTGGGCAATAAAAAACAGACTTCATGCAGAATAGCCTGCCGTATCTTGTTCATTTTGATATACCACAGGGATTTAGAATGCAAACATTTGAGGGTCAAATTCTGAAGCGTGACAATTCATTATATGAGTAGCTTTTTTTCCTTTCGTAATATAATTATATTTTTTGTCTTGTAAGTATTTTTTGGTTTTTCTTGTTTGTTTGTTTTTTAATTATTTATTTGTTTTTTTTTTGTTTTTTTACATCCAATAAGTTTTCAATGTGATGCAACAAAAAGGCGTTGTAGGAAAGGTGATTCGTCGAGTGAGCCGTGTTTAAAAGTGATAATGCAATGAAAAATACGAAAGATGAAAAATAAAACACGAATAAGCAGAAACTGTTCGGGGAAACAGCGCACGCGCGAAATATGGACGCAAAACGCTAATACCAAGAAGGGTGTTTTTTTTTTACGCGAATAGAGTACCACCACTCTAATAAATCCGAACCCCGAAACTTATTTAACTAAAATCTAATAACTTTTCCGATTTTAAATCTACCACCTGCCTCCCCTATCAACACCTCTTTTTTCCCGGTCTCCCCTACCCCGGCCACCCATGCCCGAGTCACCCCTACCCCGCGTTGCACCCCTACCTCGGTCACCCCTACCCCAGTTTCCTCTACCCCGGTCACTCCCACCCCTGCCGCCACTACCCCGGTTGCCTCTACCCCGTTCTCCCCTGCCCCGATTGTAAGAATCTTTCCTTGGGTCGAAAGACCGCCTATCGAGCGAGTTATCAAACGTTCTAGGATCTGTGCTGTCAGTTATTTGGGAACTTCCTCTTCTGTGCGTAACGGTACACCAAGCACCGCTGTCGTTACTATTTACACTTCCAATGCTGCTTTCTCCCCTTTCGCTACGCGTAGAACTATCAGAACTATTTGTCTCTCTACTAGCAGCTCCACTATCCCGAGTGTGAGTTTTACCGTTCCGTTCTAAGCGTTTGCTAGAAGAGTCTCTGCCCTTTCTTGAAGTATTCCGCAAACCTCCTTCACTAGCAATCGTACGCTCATTCACCCTTTTGGTGTCTTGAAAGTGCGCGCTCTTTGCCGCATACTTTGAATCGCTGACACTTCGTTGATAACCCTGATCCCAACCGCGTCCCCCTCGGGAATTTCTTCCTCTGCCTCCCCTCCCTCGTGCTTGCCGATGCTCCTGGTTCATTCTTGACTCTTGCCCAGTTCCTTGTGAAAATGCAGGTGGGGAAGAAGTCGAGCGAGGTTTAGGATTACTGTCCGAGATCCAACTTGCATCCCAGTTAGGAGAATGGCCTGTAAATTATAACAAAAAATTGAAATCGTTGTCATCTGACGAATCGGACGGGTAGTACTGTATACGCATAGATCTTCAAAACCAATGAAAAAAAAAATCCGCACCTTGGGATGATCAAACCTGAGTTAAGAAGTCAACCTGTGTTAACCGTTCAAATGGCGCCAAAGGCAATATACGCAATATTTACCAAGCATGAGGGTATAATACGCGTTACTCACCAAGCGTGAGGGTAATAAACGCGATATTCACCAAGCGTGAGGGTCAACAAAAACGAAAAAAAAAGAGGTCAACATCCAGTCAGCTGGACCGAACAAGATTGTTCAATGGAGAATTTGTTTTACGGTCAAAGGAACTGCGTACGACCATAGAATTATTTGATCGTAACGTTGACGTGCTTACTAGTTTAAAATACAAACCTCTCCCAGACTGAAAGCCAGTTGACGCACACCAAGGATTGTTGTTTGGCCGGCTTTGCAAACTAGAGGCACTAGAAGAAGAAACCACTCTTTGCCGACTTTCTAAAGGCCTCTTCGTAGGACTCGGAGAACAATTTAAGGCTACTTTCTGGGCCCATGTCACTGGGAATGGATCCAGACTTTCCTGCTTCGGACGAACCGCGTTCAATAGGGGCTGTGGGAGACTGGAGAGGGACGAGCGTCTTGAACTTGAGGTCTGGTAATACAACAATAACGAATACAACCAGGTTAGGTCAATTGTACACAATAGTCGTTAGAGTAATGCAATAAAAGGTTTAATAGACACCTTTCATAGACACGGGACAATTTGCAACGACAATCTTTTCGCAACTCAGTATTGCAATATTGAAACAACGTTGTCACTATCCATAAAAATGTTGAAACGCTGTGTTACGCTGAATATCGCCATATTGCGATTCGTCCCATGTAACATCACATTTAGAAACCTCGACGGCGACAGAATTGAGAATGTCTAAAGAGAAATTGGTAAAATAAGCCAGCAAGCTGGGAAGTTCTGAGTTCCCCAACCCCACCCCCCTCTCCCCAGAGAGACTGCTCGCAGGCGTTCACCTATCTATTACGACGAAAATTTACTTATGCGACTCAACACATGACAATGAATGGTTCTCTCTCTTTCTGAATCTGATTACGGTATCTAAGAATTCAGGCGAATGAGAATAATTGCGATTCTGTTCAAAATGACGCTTCATAATATTGTCGCATGTCACCGCCTTCACTGTCGCCGTCCCTAGAAAGTAGTGAACTCACGCGACAGGACGACTGGAGAGGAAAGAGAACGGCAAACACTGTGTGACAAGCGTGAAAATAATTATGTTTGAGAAAAACTTTGCACATCTTTTTGTTAAAGACCAAAAACATGAAATGTTCTGTGAAGATCACGACAAAACACGCAAGTGATAGTCCCGTCACGTTTGTCACACAAGTGCTTTGCCGTCTTCTCTTTTCTGTCGTCCTGTTGCGTTAACTCACTGGTGATTTCCTACTGACGACACTGGAAAGTGACCAGCCCTTTGGCTTACCTTAACAACAGGTGACCCAGGAGGGGTGGGTGAGTTAGAGGGAATTGTCTCAAGACGGTTGTTTATCCTAGCATTGGTCCCTCTAGACTGCTTCAGTGTTAACTGCACAGTTTTAGTAACAGTTGATCCACCTTCCTGAAGTACAACTGTGTAAAGATGTTTTGTCGTTCTTGGCTTCTTAACGGTATTCTGCCAAAGAAACGGTACATTCACTTCGTTAAATTTTAAAAGAGAAGGACACACAATTTTAAGCAGTTTTAGGACTCACAGACTCAAACTTGAAGAAAAGTTAAGAGAACTCAAAGACCTTTTTGACACTGAAGTGATCAACAATGCAATATTCTTCAGTTAATATACACTCTTTATCAATAGTACTAACACCAAATCAAACTAAACGCCTCCACCCTGGTAAATCACATCCCAAGCAGTAAATAATACCATGCATTCTCCCAGTCCCTTTTTAAGCAGGTTATTTTTGTTACGTTACAATGTACCTCGTAAGTAACGGTGCATTCGACGATAGGAGCTGCATCTGCAGTACAAGGCTGCCAGCGGTCCATGACATAAGGTGGCTTTAAAAACCAGAGCAATAGGTTAGTCAAGTATAATACCACCAAGTATTTTATTGAATCCGACGAATTTGCGAATTCGT